GCCCCTGTGTCACCGTGCGGTGAGAACGGAGCTCAGCCCTCCTCAACCCCAGCTCCTGCAGCACCCCACGTGTATTTTAAACCCCAAACCCTCAGAACGTGTAACTAAGTGGTGAAACAAAAGAAAATTCACTTAAACCAGGTCAGAGTTCAGGAGAAGAATCTCACTTTCATAGAAAAGTAGGTGATGTATTGGAAAGTCATAGCATGCACAGTTTTCATACAGGATTTATTTTTTTTTTTTTAACTCAGGCAAAAGCTGTGATCAGATTTGGGATCTACTTAAAAATGTCTCATATAGTGCCATTTGATATTACCCAACACGTATCCTGGGCCTGTATAATTTATGCCAGAGTTCCATCACAGTTAAAATCTCTGTATCCAGTCTTTGCGTGCATTTATATTTTTGCCATATTTCCTACTCTAAGCACAGAGAATTTGTGGTATTTTCTTCTATTGTAAAACACACAGGAACATTATTAAGTATAATGCAAAGTTACATGAATTTTAACTAAAGACACTGCATAATTAAAGCTATAACTAAAATGCAGCCATTGACTATTTTAAGAGGAATGTAAAAATACCTATTTAATTTTTGGAAGTACATTTTTCTTATTCCACATGTCTGCTGTCTATTTCTAAGTTATGATGCATATACTAGCTTTGGCATCAAATACATGTACTCTAATATTTTTCAAATAAATGAGCAGCAGCAAAGAGACAAGAATGCTATTTTAACACAACCTGTATCCTTAAATACCAGCTGATGTCTATTTATATAAATATAAAATATTTCTACTTTTATTTATAAATAGTCATAGTATACCAGCTTTGTTACTAAACTTTGTTCCAATTTTTTTTCCTGCCTTTTGTTTTGAAAATGTATCTGAAAATTAACAGCTCTTGGACTCAGGCTAAGCAACTTTCATTTTCACTGGTCATTATTATCCTCTCTATACGTTATAGAAGAGGAAGGAGAAATCTTTTTTATTTCTTTACTATCAAAGACAGACATATTCTTTTACAGTCAGCACACACAGTCATTCTGTCATTTTCTTTCACAGTTTATGCAGACATACCTTGAAGCTCGGGGCAGTTCTTAAAATCTTACACATTGGTTCAGTTTAGGAAGGGGCTGCAGGATTCACCTGCAACTGTGATTTGTATATTATGTTGTTTCTTGTGGAATTTAAGCTTTCTCCCTTTCCCTCAACTTTCTGTAAGTGGTGAAGGAAGAGGTGCAGTTCCTGAAGATGGACTTTGTGTTCATTGTTAATTTGGGGTGTATATGAACTGCTGGATCTGCAGGTTTCCCTGTCTGCTTTATTAACTTTCAATAAATCTGATCTGCTTAAAGAGTTGTCAGGATCTGATTTATCATCAGTATGTTGATGAGGAAGATGTGAAGACTTCACCTAGAGTTCAACTCTAGCTGTAATCACTGACACATTAATCAAATTGTTACTGTGCACAGAGATCCAAACTCACGTGGAAATGCTTCTGAGCTACAGTGACCCAGGAGCCATCTCCAAGCTCTTATCTTTACCTGGGGAACACAGAGGAAACACATTTATAACTATGATACGTGCTGGTTTATTCATCACTCTCTCCTGATCAGAAAACACCAGGCACAGGCTCTTTCTGACAGTGAAAGCAGTCAGGACCTGGGCAAAGGGGTTTTCTTCACTGAAAGAAACGTCAGGCATTGGAATGACCTGCCCAGGGAGGCAGTGGGGTCATGATCTCTGGAAAAATTCAAAAGGTCTCTGGCTGTGGTGCTTAGGGCTACAGCTTAGGGGTGACTGTGGTTGGGGAAGGTTAATGGTTGGACTAGATCTTGAAGATCTCTTCCAGCCTTGGGTTTCTGTGATGAGGGAGTCTCTAGTATCACCAACAGTGTCTGAATGCCAGTTCTTAGATATTTAAAATATGCATGTTCCTGTGATGTGTACTAGGATCCATGTTGGAGGAAGGGAACAGATTTGAGAACAGCCCCACCTGAGTGCTGGCATTGGGCTTGCTGCCACACAGACATAAAACTTGCACATTTGCAGCTAAATTCTACCCTGGTGTGATTATGTTCCTTCATATCAGTGGAGAATCCATATCTTGGATGGATTGCCATGAAGGAAAGAAATGAAAAAAATACATACATTTAATACTGTTTCAAAATCCAACCAAATTACAAATATAGTACCCTGAGTAAGACTTTTTCTTGTTAGCAAAATCCCACCTGCTAGTCAGAAGGGTCTGCGATGATAAATAGAAGTCAGCAGGTGCCCTTTATTTCATTTCACAGACACATGGAAAATTTTGCTTATCTCCAGGGAAGCCTTCCTCAAATCCATCAGTATGTGGTACTGACAGTGCTAGTCCCTCTTATGAGTTTTATAATGAAAACAAACAAATAAGATATTCATGGTAGCTATTTATGCATGAGTGTTTTCCAAAGATAATTATGAACCCTAGCTGAATTTACAGCAGACTAATGCCATGGGAACTACTGTAAAGAGAAAGTCAAGATAAACTCAGAGAAAGGAAGGCAAAGAACACAAAGATAAACCAAAAAGACATAATTATCTGGCCAAGGTTTTTTTTTTTTGTTTTGTTTTGTTTTTTTTTTTGTTTTGTTTTGTTTTTTTGGTTTTTTTTTTTTGGGTTTGTTTTTTTTGGTTTTTTGGTTTTTTTTTCTAGAAGAGGCTCCTTGTAGTGAGGGAAAATGAGCACTCTACTATTTAGTGCTGTGCTGCAGTCCTGAAGATGGATTTAGTACATGTCTGTGATGCTGTTCCAGTATTGGTCAGATTCAGGACTGGCCCTGCACAGATATATTTACAGCAGAAATCTTAGGGTAGTACCAGAGAACACAGTCATGCTTCTCTAGTTTTGGCAGAATCTGTGCCACAGTTATGTAAATCCTCTTGTTGAGCTGCCCTAATGCAAATAATACATATACGAAGCTTGTTGGGTTTCGTATTATTGAAGATTGTTTTATGTAGCAGCTTTTTATATTTATATATGCCATTCAGGTTCAGCAAGAGCTCCCAAAATATTGCTCCTGTCAATAAAATAATTTACCCTACCCAAACACTGCACTTTACTCTTTACATAGGTGAAGTCTCAAGACACAAAGCATGAGGGAAACAATCTGCTGACTTGTGTGGCACCAAGATTTTTCTCCTGTTTCAACACTTCAGTCTAATTAGATTGGCTGAATGTGCTGTTCTTGTTTAATTTGAGGGAGGTGGAAATACACAGGACCAAATACCTTCTTCCGGTTGTGGATTTGTTATTGAACAAAAGACAACTTGACTGATTTTTCAACTGACAAGAAGAGAGAATGAAATCTAAGATAAAGAATCTCAAAGAAGACCGATTTCCATCTTCCAGTGAAGCAGGCAATCAATAACACAGCTCTTATATGTTTTTACATGTTACAACTTTTAAGTGACTCACAAACAGCAGATCATTTTCTTCTCCTTTTGTTCCCAGCTGCTCAGCCTGCCTTAAATAGCTACTGCTTTGAATGCAGTTCCTTCTCCTTTCCACACAAGCTGCCAAAGACCTCAGCCGAGAAAAAAAAAATTGCAGAAAATCATCTTCCTCTCATCAGTGATTCATATGCTCATGAGCTTACACCTTGTTCAGCTGCCTATCCCAGATCCCCCTCTGCTCTTTGCATTTTAGTCAAATGCCTCAATCAAATGCCCTTTAAGCTCCTGTGTGGCTCTGTGCCAAAGATAAAAATGTATTTCCTCTATCCACCACCCAAACTTGTTTCCATGTTTAATTTTATCCTTGTTAATGTGTTGCTATCTTCCATTTGTTGTGCTCTTATCACTTAGGGCTGGCCTCATAAAAGCTCCCTCTGGTTTCATACCAAAGCTTTTCTCTCTCCTTTCCTAAATACAATCTGTTTGTGCAACCTCCTCCTAATTCTCCCTTATAATTTACACAAAATTATCTGGACTTCCAGATTTACAATCTAGCTTCTACCATTGCCATCTCCCTGAAAGGTAATTAAAATTAACTAGCAAGGAAAACAATCCTACAGCAGACATTTGAGAGTTTTCAAGCAGGACAGAAGATAAGGCTGAAGCCTAAAAAAACCCAACCAAACAAAAAGAGTTTTGTTTGGTTGAGAGTTAAGACAACTCTGAACTCTCATTTCTTCACCATAAAATTTGCTTGTAATTAAGACACTCTTGTTTCTTCACAGCTTAGTAGCCTAAATTTAAATTTCTGCAGTTAATGCTATTCCAGTTTTTCCTGGTTGCACATTTTCTTGAGAATTGTTTCCAGTTCTTTTCCAATG